CTAACATTTTCATGCATATTCATCAGAAACTAACATGTTTCCATTCTTCTCATGTTTCTCAAGAAATATTTCAATCATTTTGGTTATTTAATGGCAGAAGAAATGAATGCTACCGATATATTTGATGCCAACCTCGAAATTGCCAAATTCTAATCATAGTTTAACAAAAGTGAAGAAGAAAACGAAAAAATAAACAACAGGATGTAATGTAATGCATAATGTTAAATTCGACTACGAACATAGACAAGAATAAAGCCGAAATTAAGTAACAGATTGATCTGAGTTCATCTTTTAAATAAAATGTCAATCAAATAGCATGCACCTCAATTTACAAGTCAAAGATAAAAAGAAATGACAAAAAATACTTTGTGAATGAACCTCCATTACTGGGTAAATCATTAGATGTGCGAAATCACTCCGAAATTTGATATCAGAAAAAAAAATCAAAAGCACAGTTAAAACACATAAGCATTTCCTTCAACCTTATAGAAACAAATAAGGAGAATATTTCACAGCCCTGTAAACTTGGAATTACCTTCACCATGCGCGAAAGTGGTTGGGCTTGAGGAAGTCCCTTCTCCGAGAATCGAATTAGGTGGAAACTTGAGTTCTTTCCAACCTTCAATAGAATTTGGGTTTGTGCATATCGATTTCTAGGGTTCTTCCATGGCTTCGATTCGGAGTTGGAGTGAATTGGGGATAATTTTTGATTTACAAATAGTTAAAATCGTATATCTCCACAAACGACTCTTCACGTGGCAAGAAAATAACGCCGTCAGTTGCCACGGTAGATTCCATCCAGCCACCTCACAAGCCCTTCAAATGGATGTCTGTGCAATGATGGATGGAGCGAAATTCGTCTAAGTTCAATGACCAGTCAAGTGCATATCAAAGTTTAGTGACCTTAACGTGACAATACTCAAAGTTCAATGATTGATGAAACTTTTTACTCCTTATCTTGACAGGTTAAATATACATGTGGTCCTTTAAGTTACAACAAAATTTCATGTTGGTCTTTAACGTTTATTTTATTTCAAATTATTCACTAACGTTTCTCAATAGTTCCAATCTAGTCACATACTGTTGAAATTGACATCAATCCTTTCTTTTTTGGGAAGGGAAAATAGCAAATTATAATAATCAAAGTCGTCGCGAACAAATTGCGAAATGAAAAATAGACTATAACCAATCCAACGACAACTTATTGGAAAAGAAATAGCATAAGAGGCAAGATTGTGAGCCAATGAATTCTTGCCCCTGTTTGGTGCATATTTTTGCTACAATAATGTATTTTTTTAGTTGATGTGATGGGAATATGTGGTTGAAAAAGAAAGAAAAGTTATTGATGTGATAGAAAATATTATTTTATTGAAAAATGTGCGGTTGAAAATGAATAGAAGAATGAGAATGAAAAAAATAATGTGGCTCAAAAATATGTGTTTGGAAATATTGCGGGCCAATGAATTCTTGTGTTTGGAAATATGACGATAAGAACGACGACTTGTTTATTAAGTATTGGCGTAATATCATAGAAAATAAGAGCATTGGATGCAAAATATTTCTTCCAAATCACCCGCATTGCAATGCATTCCTCCCGTTGGAAATGAAAGCCATTCTCAACAACAAAAGTCAGGCTATAACAAAGAACAATTGCTTTTGCATCCTTCAGCAAAAATCAACCCACAAACCATCACGAATAGGCAGGAATGTCAACGAATCGAACTAGCTTGCGAGTCGAAACTTGAAGCTTGGACTCTACTCGAGTAAAAATTGCTCTGACTTTTTTTTTTGCTCGTGCCAAGCTTTAGTTCGGCCAAAAAAATCTAGGCTCAGCCCGGGCTCTTGGTTCGAACCTTATCAAGTTGAGCATGCTTGATATTTTTATTTATTTTTAACAAGACAGCAGTCAGTAGTAGAAAGCAGTCATGTAACTATTTGATTTGATTTAATTTAATTTATTATTATTAGTCACAGGTCGATGCTCCAAAATGGGGACAAATTGACACTCCTACGAATAGGTTGCAAGCATCGAACCTTCATGATTCCGCATAACCCCACCAACAGTAATGTGCCCATACTTGTAATGCTGCATGAGTATTTACTATTTAACTTTAACTTACTATCATGATAAGCGACTGTACTGTCCTCCCCACTTTACTAATGACATGGATTTGACGTTCTTCTCTCTACACTACGCCTTAAACTCACAATTAGCCATGATGATAGTGTAGGCGGATTGGTGCCAATAGACACTCAAGCACGGATTCGATCGAGATTGAGCCTGAGTTTGAGTCAAGCTGAAGTTCAATCTCACGAGCTGAGCTCTTGCTCGGATGAGTCGACTAACACTTAGCCTATGAAATGCAAGCGGTGGTCACATTAATTTACTTTTGACATCTTGAGAAAAGCGTAGGGTCCGCAAAATACTATTATTTTTTTAATTTTTTGTTCGAGTTCCTGGAAGATTTTTCGAAGCCTTCGTTTTTGAAATTTTTTGTTTCCTTTAAGGGGTGTTTGGTACCCTGTTAATTTTTTTTCTTTTTTAATTATAATTAATCATTCTTCAAATAAAATAATATTACACGTAAATCTAAAAATTTTCGTTACTTTCTAATCACGAGTTTTCCTATTTCCGAAATTTATCTTTTCCAAAAAGGGGTGCCAACTCGCTCAAAAAATCTTCGACTCTATGCTAATCTGAAACAATCTTCTATGGCGGCCATGGTTTCTTCTTCACTTTCGGCCAACCCACTCTCCCTATGTCTCTGCGTATCTACTTCACTCTCTTCAAAAACTAGACTTCACAAAAGACTGTCACCTTTACTTGCTTCTCTAAGACCCTCTTCATCATCGTCTTCGCATGAACCATCACCAGCCACACAAAGTGACAACCTTAAATCCGCTAAGCCATCAATAAAGGCACCCTTTGTTGAATCGTCTAAGCCCCTAGATAAGGCCTACAACCATGCCTTGGCGAATCCGAATGGGAACCTTGTTTTGCGGTTTGTTCAAACCACGGAGTCTTCCATTGAAAGGGTACATAAACTTCGTTTCTATGGTTAATATTCGATCCACCCTTGATTTTTTTTTTTTTTTATCTTTGACATCAATCTATTATCAATTCGACACTGAATGCATGTTTTGGAACTTCATTGAGATGTGTTCAATGTTAGACATGTTCTTAATGTCGATATATGTTTCTTGATTGGAGAAAGTAGTGAAGTGATACATCTATATAATATCATTTATCCAGTCAATATAAATAAGAGCCTTGGGTGAGCTGTGCCATCAACAGAGAAAAAAGTGGGGAAAGAAATAAAGAATTGTTACTTCACATTGATTAGAAGAACCCATTCTCTTTAATTTCATATTTAAAGTTTAATCTCGATAGCCATGGCTGGATCTATACCTGGTGAGCTTCTTCCACTGCTTTACCACTAAATATTTATTTCCTAAAGCAGTGGTATAATATTCATTTCCATGCCTAGTTGTTTGATTATGTTAGCATATTTGCCATTGGCAGATTACAGTTTTCAACTTTCTTTAATCACAAATGTTAAATTCAATTATAAATTTTAAACTTCCCATGCACAAGGCGCATACAGGTGGGATTTAATTAAAAAAGCTTTAATAATGGGACTAGCTCATATGTCAAAACTAGGAAATTTGCATGCCCTTGAAGTTGGGAAAAAAACTATTTTTCACATCTAAATGACCACGTTATTCCAATTAATCTATAAGATAAATAGCATTCCTGTGGGATCAAGTGATAAACTGTATAAATCAACTGCAATTTGTTACAACTTCTCGATGATATCATTATGCATAAGATGCTAATAAGATGTAATCCTCTTACTGCAAATAATTGTTGGTAGTGCCTCTTCGATGATTTTCAGATACGTTGGTTTGTAGATGAATGATCCTGTCAGCATAGCTTATGATCTTTCCATTCATCTTAACACACTGATTTACTCTAAATATGGCACGTTTTTTATGCTTACATTATGAGAGACACTGATTCTACTTCACTAAAAAGATTTAACATTAGGAACATCGTAGCAGCTTGGTGCATTTTTACTTTCAAATTTCAAGCATTATCAATTCTATAAATTTATTGGTGTTCTTCAGGTCTAACCCATGTTTAATTGATCTGTAACACTATTAGGTTATGGTAGGACGAGTCTTTATGGATTTACAACATGCGTATCTCAATTTTAACTGGTGAAGTTTTAGTTTGGGGAGGTAAAGCAGATCTTTCTAACAGGCAGCTCTCATAGTTCGATTTTGTGAGGGAAGAGATTTTAGTACTTGATTGACAATATACAATATTGACTTCAACTACATATATGATTGCTGGGCTATACGGGATATTCTGGTTGGAAAAATTTATTGAGATACCTTTTCATCATAACAAACTTCTTGATGTGATTAGCCATTTTTACTTTCTTGAAGAGTGTAGTCTAGATAACTAAATGCTTTTTTCTCCATCTAATCAGGTGATATTTGACTTTCGCTTTTTGGCACTTCTTGCTGTTGGTGGATCATTGGCTGGTTCCTTGCTCTGCTTTCTCAATGTAATTTGTTCTTTGAGAATGCTTTTTTCACTGAATTTCATTTTATATATGATTTACAAGGACTTCTGCTAGTTCTTGGATACAATTTTTCTTTTTTATTTCTAGCAAATTACATAATTGAGTTAATATTTGTAAAAAATTAAATTAAGCGCAATTGATGGGGCCATAACATCCACTCTATTACACACATAATAAATCCTTGTTGACCATAGATGTCTTGAAGGATGATTGAACTTTTTCATTTTGGGTCTTATAGACATGTGTCTGTTCTTGTACAATTTGTAATTTTAAAAATTCTTTGCTTTTCATAGAGAACAATATCAAGTTAGAAGATATGATAGTAAACTGGATTTAACTGCAGCCTTGACATCGTGTAAGTGCTGGTTGTGCCCTGAAGGCCTGAACTGATATTTCCTCTATTTATTTGGATAACATGTAGAGAAAAAACATGTTATTTTGTATTTTTTTTACAAAAAATGGAGGGTTATAACTTATTTTTCCAGTTCACAAATTGTCTACTGTGGAGTTGATCCCTCCCTCTATATTTCTCTATGAATCAGTCCTAGATTTGGGGAAGGTGGCAAAGCACATTGAATATGACATCAGCAGAAGAAATTTGGATTACTTTCAAGAAATTTATATATCTTACTTGTGTTATTGTTCACTGTTTTATGCCTAAGTCATTCGGATCTTGACTTACGATGGATTTAGATACTTGTAGGGATGCGTCTACATCTTTGATGCATATAAAGTATATTGGACAAGCTGTGTCAAAGGAGTTCACACAGGACAAATGGTTCTACGACTAGTTGAGGCTATTGGTGAGTCCTTGAAATTTTGGCTGATGGAAATGTTGTCAGTCAATAGCTGGATATATTTTGGCTCACTTCAACCTCGTATAACTGAAGTTGTCAAAATATTTATGTGACATAAGTCAATTTGCTTAGTTTTTCAAGACTAGAAGAGCAATAATTCATTAACCTTTAGGCAATTGCTTCTAAATCTGTCAAGACTTGAAGGATAACTTCGTGCATTTGAACGGATGTTTAATGGAAGAAATATGATGTGCAATTGTAGACTCACTCTTCTGGAAGAGAAAAAGGGGATTGAGAGTAAACTTGATATATTCGCCTTATTTTATTTATCATTTTGCATAATTCTTCAGTTTATTCTAATTGTTGATTTAATGTTCGGTTTCTCCTTAATTCAGATGTGTACCTTGCTGGGACTGTCATGTTAATATTTGGCATGGGCTTGTATGGATTATTTATTTCAAATGTGCCTCCTGATGTTCCACCTGCCACTGATCGTGCCCTCCGGGGATCTTCCTTGTTTGGGATGTTTGCTTTAAAGGTAATTTGCAACTGTCTGAACTTTGTTTATCATTTTTCATATCCTCTCCATGGGACGTGTCTACCATTTCCATGCATTAATATCTCAAGTTCTCAAAAGATTCTATCTTATGTTGTTTGTCTCTAATAAACATTCCATTTACATTATTTCTTCTGCTGATGTGAAAATATAAGCCTCGAGATTAAAAACAGCTACATCATGTATTATTATAGATTGAGACCTAAACCCAAGCATGAGAGCAATATTAAGCAAAACAAACTTAGAAACACACACGAGCAAGCACAAGGATTTATAGTGATCCACCCTCAATCTGAGAGCTCAGTTCACCTGCTGCATGTTCTTTTAACCATAATGAAGGAGAATTACAATGGTAATCTCACTCCTTTTGAGTGTGTATGTCTCTAAAAAAAATGACCCCCTAATAATTCAGGTGATGTGCCACGTTTATAATACACCAATAAAGCCCTATAATCGGGAATTTTTCATTGGAGACTACCAACCCCTTGTCAACCTAACTGTGAATTTTGATCGCGGTCGACTAGGGATAAAATTTGACCCGAAAAACCAGAGACCTGCGATGCCCCCACCTCTCCCCAATTATTTAGTTCTTTATAAAAAATTCAAAGTCTTGTCTAAAATCACCTGAGCCCAACTTTTTTATGCCCAAACCCATTAGTCCAGTTCCCAAATTACATTAGAATTTACATGAAAAAAATATAATAAAGAGACAAATGGGTGCAGGCAATTCCCCCGCCCCACCTTAAGCTGGGATTAGGTAAGGTGGGGCTTGGACGGGGTGGCAAAATTCTCGGGCGGGGCAGGGAAGTGGCGCCCTTCCCTGCACCCATCCCTACGGTCAAGAATGAAATTGTATGATTAGGCTGCAGACAATCCAAGAAGTACTTCATATTTGCCTTTCATTATCACTATCTGTGGAAAAATTGTTATTCATGCATACTCTTATTTTAGGTATTGCACATCTCTCTCTCTTGTTTTGTTTCTCGTGCACCTGACCAATATTTCCTATTCACGTGTAGGAGAGGCCGATGTGGATGAAAATCAGTTCGCTTGATGAACTGAAGACTAAAGTTGGACATGTAATTGTCATGATCCTGCTGGTAAAGATGTTTGAAAGAAGCAAGATGGTCACTATAACAACTGGTGTGGATCTATTGAGCTACTCTATATGTATATTCTTGTCTTCTGCTTCCTTGTACGTACTTCATAATTTGCACAAGGCGGACTAAACACTACCGTTACATACATACCATGCCTAACTTGTATAGCCAAGTAACATATGTATTTATACATCAGTATGAATGTTCGTCTCAAAGAGCTTCTCTTGTTTATTTTTTCATTGCCACAATTTCTTAGTCACCTTGTCAAGTGATCTCATCTCAATCAAGCCAAACGTTGGTTCACATAGTTTTAACCTGCAGGATAGACTCATGACCGTATGTTCAGTTAATTCTGGAAACGCATCGCCTTCTTATTAGCAAGTCCATACCAAAATCCAATTCTATATGATTCTACTATACATGGCTGCTGCCTATTAGTGTGGTGGTTACTTTTACAATATATTCTAAATGGAAAAAGCTGAAGAAACAGGCTCAATGACAGGGCCTTTTTCACTCGGCAGTTTTTGATCGACAATTTTTTGTTTAATTTTTTTTAACTGTCAATGAAAATTTGCCAATTGTATGCGTGTCAAAAATTGTTTCTAAATTACATTTCTCACATGCTCTTTTAACTATTTGTGCCATGTGGCGCTCTCTTAATGCTACCACGTGGTTAGTAAGGTATTTGTTTGTTTTCCTTTAAGAGGACGAGATACTCAACTATCCCTGTAGCTTCGATTGCTCTGGTTATGTTGAGGTCTAAGCTGTTTTAAGTATTTAGGTCGATTATTAGAGTTTGTTTAACTGGATTCGACAGGCTTGGTTCTTTTCATGCCAGCCCCGCAGCATAAACTTTTAGAGATGAGCAATACTAAAGCTTTGCTCTTGCAAAATGATTATGATGAAGCTTATTATTCATTGCGTAGTAACGTCGTTTTGATTTATCAAATGTCCCTACTTTCTCCATATGATTATTGTAGGGATAATTGTAACATCGATCCCAAACTTTTGAATTTTTTCGCAAACTTTATCATAATCTTTAATTTGTGACATCAGTTATTCTAAACCTTTGAAAAATTAGCATTCTGAGTCCATTAGAGGTGAACGCAATTCAATTTGGACGTAGTTAGGTTTGTTAACTAAGTCCCTCTTTGAGTCACATTAAAATTTTCATTCTCATTCTTCTATTAATTTTCAACAACGCATTTTTCAATAAAATAATATTTTCCATCACATCAATAATTTTTCCTTCTTTTTCAACCACACATTCTCCATCAATCTACTATTCCATAATACATTCTTCTAAAATAATGTGGTTCAAACACACCCTAAACTGGAAAAATGACTGTGTAATTAAGTGAAGGCAAGGTTGCGGAGATCATGCTGTCTTTAATAAGAGAAATGTCAGCACTAAAACTATGCAGAAAATGAATAAATTTGAACACATTCCCAAATTGGTATGGCTCAGTTGATGAATATTAGAACCACCACAAGGATACTGATACATTAGTTTGGTCTTACCAATAAAAGTTAGTGTGTAGTGTAATTTTCACCTTTTTCCTGAATAGTTAAAACTGTAAAGTATGTAATTTAGAAAAACGGTTTGGTTCGATTTTGTGCGGTTTTTGAAAATTGAAATATAAACAAAACAATTTTGAAACGGTTTGATCAATTTGAGGGAAAAAAATCGCGGTCCACGCGGACCCTAATCGCGGTTTCAAACCAATGATTTCGATTCAGTTTGCAGTTCCGCAATTTTTTTGTGCAACCCTAAGTTCCATTAGTTGATCTGAAAAATGAAAAAATTAGATATGTTGACCATTTTGAACATGGCATTTTCGTCACTTATATTCAAAGAATTAAAAACAGAAATTTTCCAACATACCCACTTCATCTTCTTCACTTGGTCAGATGTTGTCATGTCGGGGAAAGAGGAAAAAAAATTAAGTTTATATTTGTGGTGGAACAATAATTTATTTTATTAAAAAGTATATTAAAACATAATTATGTAATTTTACTCCAAGCTATCTAATAAATAAAAAATACTGAAAATTGTAGTGCACTTAATAAAATTCATAATGATAATATAATTACCCTTACAAATTTTATCAACTTTTTAACTAAATATTTCACCAACTTTTATCAAAGTTTATTAAAAATCTAATTTTCATTATTTTGAAATAATAGATTGATCGAGAATATGTAGTTGAAAAATAAGATTTTTTTGGAATTTGCGTGTAATATTATTTTATTGAAAAATATGTGATTAAAAAGAAGAGAGAGAGAGATGGATGTATTTTAGAAATAACGGGGATCGATTAAAAATTGATGTGATGATCTAAAAAGTGCTTATTTCATTCTATGTACAATGTTTGGGTAAGTTTTAAAAATTACTTTTAAGTAAATTCATTTATAAATGAAAATTACTATCAAAAAGTAACAATAAAGTAAAAATTACTTTCAAAAAGTCTTATATTTATTAGAAAGTGAGAAAAAAACTATATTCTCCACACATATTTGACGAAAGTATCAATTTTTTTATTTTTATTTATAGAAGTTAAAATAAAGTATTTATTTCAATAATAAAGAGTCATTTTGAAAAGATAATGCTGCACACAATTTCTTGTTTATCCGAAATTGTATTTTAGTTAAGAATAGATATACTATAGATCGATTACTATGATGACTATTTGTCCATCTAAATTTGAAATATTTCTTTCGTCTAGTTAATGGGTGTGAGTAAAAAAAGTTGTCGATGAAAAAAAAAGTATAATTTTTACTTAAAAGTATTTAAAAAAAAGTAACTTTGGGCCTGTTTGAACTGAATTAAAATCTAATTTTAGTCATATATATATATATAACGGAATTTCTTGTTTTAAACAGGCAGCTGTACCTTCTTTCAGTGTTTTTATCATAACTTTGTATTCCGATATCCGATTGAGGCGATTCAAAATGCGTTGGAAAGCTAACTCATCTGGCTACAACTTTGATTCAGACATCATTCTCCAATTAGATCACTTTCTATGCCAAAAATA